GAGTGGTGATGAGCAACAATCTTCAACTGTAGGAGAGTCTGACTCAGGCCTGTGTTCTCTGGATACATTTTCTGCCCTTTAAAGCCTCTTTCCTGTGCACTCGTCCCTGCCAATCGAGTTGAATCATTATACGTTTTCCCAGCACGTTTGCATTAGTGACATTTTCGTCCTCACTGGCGTATTCCTCATCTGCATCCTGCTGACAAATGCAAAGTTCAAGAGGAAGAAGCCGGTTGTCAGAGCTGTGGCATTTAGTCTCCTTAATGAGGTGGCGTGCTGATTGACAGCTCCCGGCTAGTGCTAGTTGAGCGTGCTAGGTTGCCATGCTGTGCCATGCGGTGGAGGTGAAGAGCTGGGCAGCAGTACATTCATTATCTTCAGCATTTCATCCAAAGACTTTCCTCCCTCTCGCGTCCTTAAATGATATGCAGATCCTGGAGGAGAATGGAGTTTCTGTCGGAGATTCAAAATACTGGGTGTTCTGGGGACGGAGTGTGGGCAGGGCCATACCGGGCAGTTTGGGAAGGCAGGGCCTTCCTCTGCCTAGCATATCCGCCCCCCCATCTGCAGATGATCCCGTCCCAAAACGAGCACTCTTCCAGTGACCTGTCCGCCTTGTATGCAGGGTCTCAGCGGAGCCGCATATTGCAAAATGAGAAAAACCTCTGTGATTTAGTCCCTGCTGGGCGGTGACTTATTCTACACCGTAGAGGCCTGATTGCTCATGCTAGTAGCTCTTTGGTTCAGGTCTGGAGGGTCCTCGCATTGCTCCTAGATGGGATCTCCTATCTCAGTCTAAGTTAACCTCGGGAGGTCGCCTATGAGGTGCAGGGATCCCTTTTTGGGTCCTAGCTGTCTGCTTGGACCCGGAGTTGCTCTGGGCAGTCTGGCTCCTTTGTGGAGCGATGGGTGTTGCCTGGGGTTCTTGGCTCCGCATCCCCATTCGGTTCTCTTCTTTTATCCCTCACTCCTGCTCCTGTTGTCTTCTTGGGCCATGTGGTCACTTGATTGTGGTCTGTGGCCCCTCCCTACCTGTGGAGGGGGGGGGCGTTAGTTCCTGGGGGCTGTGCCCACCTTTCCAGTGTTCCAGGTGGGCTAATACCGTGGACCCTGAAGTCCTGAGACCTTCTCATCAGCAGCCTCCTCCACTCAGCTCTTCTGTCATAGGAGCCACGGGCTGGCCACCCAGCAGGAGACGCCCCCCAGAGCTTGGCCAGACCTCTTAGCTGGGGCACTGAAGGTCATGTGCCCCCCCCAAACATCATGGGGGAAGGGGCCAGCCAGCAGTGGATGAAGCCCCAGGTCTGGTGCTGGCGGGGGCATGGGGCCCAGGGGACCAGAG